ACAGCCTAATAAACACAACCAACATATTATCGTAATTGCCCAAACTCAATCAACCCACAAAAGAAACTAGATTGCAACCCAAACAAATTACCACTAAAAAGCAGCCCACTCCAAAATCAGCTTACACTAAATAACAAACCTAATATAATAGCCCAATAAACTAAATATTCAAACTCAACCTTCTGCCAAATTACAATGTCACCAACAAGACCATTACCCATTGCAAGCCCATTAACCTTTCAATCTCAACTAATACTACAACCCAAGCCCAATTCCTAATTTAGATTGATAAATGTCTCTCATTGACAAAATAATCTTAGCATCAATTATTTCCTCCACTAATCTCTTTGTTCTCCGCTCAAAAACTAGAATATGCGAAGCACCTGATCCAGATCTCAAACCAACTTCATAGGATGAAAAATGAGCCCATTCACTTACTTTAAACATCCACCCATTTGCAGATTTGAATGGTTTTCACGATTTTAACCCAGAAAATTTGCAAACCCTGAGCACTGAGAGGAGTCCAAGTAACGATCTATGAACATACGCAAGGCGAAGATAAAAGTGAAACGAAATCAGGAATTCAGATCCGAAAAAAAATAAAAAATAAAAAAACAAAACAAAATTGCTAGCCGGACGAACCGCTCAAGACCGTTCGCGGGGAACGAAATTCAAGATTAATGTGTTTAAGATCGTAACAATTCTGATACCATATTAAACAATTCAAAGAAATAAAGAAAATGAAAAAGAAGGCTAGGATTTTATTAATTCTACACAATACAATTGAATACTAAAGAATGATTTAACCTAAAAACAAAGAAACTATATATAGACTAAATAAAGGAAATTGAAAAGACTATTCTACCCTTAATAAACAATAAAATAAAATAATCATATATTTCTTAACAAGATCAATTGCACGAGGCAATTTCTAACACTAATACGGTGTAAACAAATAGCATTGACAAAAAAAATTAAAAGGAGCAAACACTTAATAAAGATTTCTCCATGTTTCATTGCAAACACAATGGACATTGTCATGCAGCAGGAAGCTACCCTGGCAACTGCTATTATAGCTCCATTTTACAAAAATTCTCTGTAACCAATTTATCTAATAGTTCACGACACAAAATCAGAATTCTAAGTACACAAGCAGTAAATGATTGTGAACTCATAATACAATTTACGATGCTTCAAGCCTTCATCAAAATGAAACGACAGATTTAAGATGTGTTGAAGACTGCTGCAACTGTGATAGAGCAGTATCAGATTCTTCGGTTTCATCAAATTCAATTGGAGGAGTCCCACTGATTTGCTTCCTGCAAACAAGCACGCAACAGAATTGCAAAATCAATGCAATTTTTTATTTTTTTTCTGAGACAGAATCACAAAAATAAAAATGACATTCAAAATCCTCGCACGGGATGAAACATGCAAAATGACAATGGTATGGTGTAGCTTTCAGTATATAATAGACAAACATATACAAATAAATTGGATACTCAAATTTTGAACAAAATGTTAAGTGATAAAATTTCATATCAAATAAAGATGACAACATAGACCAATTTATAAAGGATTAGGCTACTCTCCTAACAATGTTGACCCTTTAAGACGGAACCCTAAATCTTAACTCAAAAGACTCAAGGGTCTTGGAAGCATTATTTGCTGGCAGCTCCATCGATTGCTCCTATAGGATTAGTTTCTCTAGCATTTTCCTAAGGTAAGCTTCTTACCTTACTAGATGCAACAAATGACATAATTGCCCTATCTATATTGTTGTCAAGCAAAGTTCTCCTCGTGACACATTATCTAGCTCCGGCCAGTTAAAAAAAAAAACTAAGATGAACTACCATTGGGACGAAAAGCATTGAGAAGTTTCCAGAACTCATTCTTGAATACACGCAGTCCTGATGTAAACTATAACTTGTGAAAATTTCAAAATACAAAAACAATTATATACAACAAAACTATGGAACATAGCTTTAACCAAAGAATATATGACAACGGCCAAAGAATAATTAGAAACGTGACTTACCTCTGAGTTACAAAAGTTTCTTCAGATAGTGCCTTCTCTAGCCTCTCTTCAAATGGTGTTGCATGCCAATTAACTTTCTGATCCTGCAAAAGATACGAAAAAAATCACTAGTTTTTTGGTTAAGTTATCTAGACAAGTATAGGACCGAACAAAGAGAAATGGACTAAAAGAAGAAAAGACAAAGATAGAAGCAAGCAAACCTCTTTATACTTATTAGTTGAATTTGGAATCCCATTCCCATCCCACCATTTAGGTGAAATACGTGAATTTTCATCATCTTTCCAGTGAGCTGCGACCATTCCAAGGATAGGCCTATCACTTGGAGTTCTTCCACAACGAAAATTATCACCAAATACTGAACCAAACTGTTGATTATTGTCATCTTGATTTACTGAAGGAGGTTTCAACCAAGAAGACAAGCTTCCTTCAACCTTCATATCTTTTCTAGCTGAAAGTTCTTTCATCTCCATGTCTGATGTTGGGGTTCCTTCATCGACCTGCTGAAGAGATTCACTTAGGTGATGAGAATCAGAGTTTTCATCCTTCAATACCTTCCACTGAGAGGAATTCTCGACTGGGTTCAGGACAGAGTAAATATACTGAGATCTGATTCTAGCAGTTTTTCCATCCACCGTATTGTCAAGATATCCAGGGAAAACAGTGCCGGGTGTTTGCATCTCGTCAGTTAGTTTTAATGGGGTTGGATATGGTGACAGCTTTGATTTATTATAATTACCAGCACATCCAGATTGCTTCAAGTTTTGAATGGTCGTGTCAGATGAAGAGCCTTTTGATGGAGATGAAGACATATCAGACTCACATTCAAAATGAACAGATTTGTTTTTGAATTGTACACTTGAAGCCATATCCTCGGATAGAACAGATGAAGTTGAGAAACTATGAATGACATTAGCATGTACATCTGGGGGTGTGATAAAATTCTGAATGCTACCACTTGAAGTGGAATTGGTATGAGCTCGTCTTGTTATCATTCCATCAGTCAGGCAGCTGGAAAACAGAATATCAAATCTTGTTCATAGGTGATTATAAATGGTTTAAATTATAACAGATAGAAACTAGAGGTGGATAAGTGAGTAGTACTTGTGAGTCCTACGAAATGTGGATAAAAATTGGTCTAGCCGATTAAAAACAAATTATAAACAAGAGGCAAACAAGGGCTTTGTATTCCATGTAATTTTTTCAGCAGCACTTCAGGTTTACATCTTTTCTTGGGTGTGAATTGGAGGAATATCAACTGAAATTGCCAAATATGAAAATAGGAAAGCAGAAAAAGAAATAATTTAAGGTTTCCATTGCAAGTACATGCTAATAGATATTAGCTGCTCAATGGTTTCATAGTCATACACAAAAATTGGTAGATTTACCTGCTCGGAGTTTCCACCAACGAACTTGATTCCATTCTCTGTTCTTCACAAATTTTTACAGGAGTAGGAGGTTCATCAGGTTGCTTCTCTAAGTTGAGTTTCTCAATGGATGCATTAGAAAGCCAAGAATTGAATTTCGTAGGTGTTGCTTCTGCATCTTTAGTTGATGCATCCTTCCATTTCTCTGAGGCTTTTCGAATTTCAGCGGGAGTCTCAGGCAGAGTTCCACAAGCTTTGAGGAACTTAGCCTGCAGAATATTGTTACTCGACTTAGGCATCTTTAAATACATAAAGCATGGACATATATTTATGCACATATACATACATAAGCATCTGTATTATTTACATTTCAATGGAGCAGTGAGACTGTGGTTTTGTATATGTATCTATGCATCTATGTGCAAATAGTGTCATGTGTTTAGTCATGAAAATAAAAACCCTGAAAGTAAAAAATAACAGTAACAGTTTCACTTGAAAGTTGAAAGCAACTGAATAAGCCCCTGTTTGGTGGCCATTATTGTGTAAAAATGATGTTTTGAATAGTGATTTTTTGGAGAATGTGTGGTTAAAAAGTAGGGAAAAGTTTTGGATTTATGTGCAAAATATTTTATTGTGTGAATGTGTGGTTAAAAATGAGTATGAGAAATTAATTGTCTTGTTGTAAAGGGAGTCAAACAGGGGATAAATGAATCATCAAATCTTAAAATTGACTCAGATTCAGATCTTTAAATTGAACAAGCCATAAACATTGAGGATGGCAGGGATAAGATATGAGCAGAATGGAGTACATGAAGTCTGTATTTAAGTGCACAGATTCCATTGGCAATTTTTTATTGTATAAGATTAAGACATTTCTACAAATAAATAGAACAATACAAATCAATGAAGTATCTGTAATTTCTCAACAATTCTGAAAGGTCACAAAGAACAAACAAAAGTACACTAATACCGTAATTAACATTAAGGTAAATAGGTAATTAAGAAAAAATAAAATCAACATGCTACTTAATTAACTAACATTATTATTAGGAAGCACATGCTTGTTTTGTAATTAGATGCTGTTCTTGACACTGGAACCAGGAAACATTAGCTTAACTCATTTCCGATTCAGCTCGCCAATTAATTATATGGTCGTCGTGATTTGTTAAATTTTTCAAGAATCCGTAGATTCAACAGCACAATACTTATTCAGTCAGGTACAAACCAAGATCTATTCGTACTCAATTCAGTCATCCAATATACATATAACTATAATATGCACAAAGGTGACAGGCGAGCAGTTTGCCACCGGATTTAGGCCTCACGTTTAATATATTATAGAACACAGTAATCAAATTTATCTTGGCGTTTTATGTCATTGTGCAGTCAACTTTATTGCAGATGAAGCATCAGATAACCATGTTTACCTTCAGATGACTCAATATAATAGAATTCAGGTCTATTCATACCCTATAACAAGAATCAATTTGATTACAAATACAAAAATCTCTATTTCTATGCAAATTCAAGTTAGGAATGCAAAAAAATAACAAATATCATAAATTTAAATTCGATATGTAGCAAGAAATAGCATGATACATTTTAAACATTAATTTAGAAACAGACCTCCTCCTTGAGCTCTCTGAAATCAAGATCTTCATGCTGAGAATTATCCAATTTCCGAGTTTTCTCAGTCTCTTGACGTGAATCATCTATTTAATCCATTAAAATTTTTAACATTTCATCAATCAAATCCCCCCAATCCAAAAGCATTTCAATAATTTCATACAAAAACTTCATTTAAATCGCCCTTAATTTCCAGCTGTCATAAAATAAAAAGAAAAAAATACCGTCAGAAAGGAATAGAGATGACAGAGCATTCCGGTTGCGGGTTGTCACCACTGGCTCCTAATTGCAAAATCAATAAAACAAACACACAAAATCTTGAAATTAGGAAATAAAAAAGAAAAATATAACAAATTCTAATTGTTCGTAATCTTACAGTAGTAGGGCGTGAGACAAAATGAGGTTGGGAATCTTTGATACGAAAACATCCAAAAAAACAGCCCATTATTGCAATCGCCACTCTCTGCAGAAGCCCTAATGCTGCTACTTCACTTTCACCTTCCTTCTTCTTATACCATACCATTTACTGCTGTATCTATCTGTATATACCTTAATCTGATTGGGTGATGGGGGTTAATTGTGTTGGGATGTAATTTTCATTTATCCAGAAAGAGAAAGAAAGGAGGAGTGTCACTGTGGTGATGGCTCCATTGGGTTTTGAAATTCGAACAAGAAGCTGTGAAGAGGGAAAAGCAAAATTAGAGGAGACACTTGCGCAGTCGAGAAAGTATGATTTTGATGCCTACGCGCGCGCTCTATTTGACACATGGACGTATCCAGATTTTGGCGACTTCGAAAAGCATGTTCGGCTTTCCTTTAAATTCACTTTTTTAAGTGGATTTTTGAATATTCAACTTTTGAGGACAACTAACATCCTTTAGACCATGTTTGGCTAAGCTTAGTGAAATATTAGTGAGGTAAATTCCGTATCCTCCTTGACGTGGATGGTTCCGGCTGAACCGATCAGTATTTGCTACCTGCAAAATGAGGTCGGGGCTCTCTCCTCCGATGTACATCCGGCGTAAGAATTAGTATACGGTTTAAGAGAATGTATTGGAATTCAAAATAGTTCGGGTTTGAAGAAGTCATACATTTTCCCACATTGGGGTATTTATAGACACTTGATAGCACGCCCATGTTCCATGATTAATGGTGTCACGTATCCCACATATGTCTTCCCACTCTCCCACGTTCTATAGCGTCAACCCCCACTCATCGATGGTTGGTTATGCCCACGTTTGTTGTTGGGTGGTTTTCGTCTATCTCATTGTCGTTTATTTGGCTAAGTATAGTGGGGGTCGATGACCTCGTAATGGTAGACGACCTATGTGAGTGTAGAGTGCATCAGGGCGTTCGACGTCCTGGGGGGTGCACATTAAGTAGCGACCATCGTGGAAAATTGTTAACACCGTCTTATATCACTTAGGGTGTCAACAGATTATGTAGGGGCGCTTAGGGCATCTCCAACCCTTTGCATCATTTCCCTATTTTGCACCAAAAATTTGGTGAAATCCCTCTCCAACCCAACACATAATTGGCACAAAAAGGGTGAAAATGAATAGTATTGCACCAAATATGGTGCACCAGTATTCACTTGCACCATTTGCACCAAAATGGTTAATGTCCTTTTTGCCAGTCTTTTTTTCATGTTTAACCAAAATTTTATTAAGGGTATTTGTGTCATTTTATTTGTTATATAACAAATTTTAATTCTTAACTAATAATAATAATAATATTAATTGTATTATGTTTTTTAAATTTATTAATGTATTCAATGATTTCGTTAACGAAACGCAGTTATTTATTTAGTAATTTATGAAGTATTAAATTAAATAAATAAATAATTTGTTAGATAAATAAACCACTAAGAATGAAAAAAATGAAAAAAAATAATTAAACATTGTTCATTTGGTGCGACTTTTGGTATAATGGGTTGGAGATAATTTTCAGTTTGAAGAAAATTTGGTACAAAATGGGGCAAAACTTACCTCAAATTTTAATGCATGGTTGAAGGTGGTCATAGTATGTCAACGAGGCCAGGCTCGGCCGAACCATTAGCTCTACTTTATGTAAAAGAAATAAGGGAAGATTACATATTCAAGAGAATAAGTTTACCCTATTTCAAAAACAAGAAAACAAGTTTGAAATTTCCAAAATCAGACTTCTATTAAAAAATTTTAAATTTCTATTTATGAAATAATAAATTA